TTTAGCAGAATGAAACAGAACCACACAGGCAGAGGAACAGAACAGAAAATGAAAAGATGAATCATTGCTTCAATTCTTGGGTCTAAGATTTGCCTTAATGTTCAATGTTATTTTCCTGATTTGGAGAAGGTTATTTAAAGCTCAAGGTTTGAGGCATACATATTAATGGTAATTACACCATAAGAAAAATATGTAAAACATACTAGATTTAGGTCTGGCTCATTTTAATTCATAGCAGAATCGTTTAAATACGTGCTTCAGTCTGCTGAGTCTGAAGTCACTTCAGCAACTGCAGCTCACTGGACGGAAAAATACATTTCTACAGTGCAGATGTGACAGCAGTTCAAGGACGTTATGACACAATTCACATTTATTGAGGAAACTTCTCGTGGCTCAATGACTCACGGAGAACAAACTGGTTGGAAGCCGCTTCGCTTGGAATAGCTTTTCCATCTGAAAAAGCCATAACCACATTCTGACATACCTGCAAAAATCCCTAAGCGGGAAGATTGCACTGATGTTTGGAGGCTGGTTTAAATTTTCACAGCCTTCACCTCAGACATTTGAAGCTCTTTTCGAAATTTGAGAGGTTTTGCATCCTCGCAGCTCCTCCCCTCAGTGTGTGTGTGTGTGTGTGTGTGTGTGTGGTCTCCTGCTGCTGGCTCTGCAGATCCAGGTTTTAAGGGTCAAGAGGTCAGTGGTGGGTGGTGGAATGCTTACGTTCACTGCTACTGTTAACACCACTATCTGTGCCGTTTTTGCTTTCAGCTAACTATGTCTATCTTTGAGAAGAAGAAAAAACATTTTTTAGAATCTTTTCTTAAGATAACAGTTATTAGTTTTACTGTCTCTTTGCTTGGTTATATTGAACTTGGCGTATGGAACCGAAAGGGACACGTGGAGCATTTGAAAAAGTTAAGACAAACTACACTGACACTATGTGTTGAGCTTTAACCAATAAATTCCTCCAAACAAAAATGTTTTTATTGAATGACCAACAAATATACATGATGATAATAAACGATGACAGCATATTGAAATGCAGCCAATCTCAATTTTAGCTGAGGGCAGAAAAAGAGCAGTTTAGAAATGAACTGTCACTAATGTATGAACATCAAAACCTCCTGATGGCACGGCAGGCCTTTTAGCACGATCAAAGTATGCCCTTCTGGTTACAGCACACACCTTTGGTCTGACATGAGTCAATCAAATCCCGTGACAGGACCCTTAGCTTTAGTTCAGTTTTATCAATCTCACAGAACACACATGGATTTTTTTTGTTTTTTTTTACCATAGTACTCGCCGTTACTTGTGAGCCAGCAAACATCACTGCATACACACACACACACCACACACACCCTTCCCCCTGTTCACTCAACTACATAAAATGTTTGTTTATGAACCATTAAAAAAAAGGAGTTGCAAAATCTTGCCACGGATATAAAAGAAAAAGCTGTCAGTGCTTAGGGAGTGGTCTGCACATGCAAAAAGGTTGGCTGTTTTTGATTTGGGGGGGGGTGGGAGGGAAGAATGAGGAGAGCCAGTCAAAGAGCAGTTTATAGACAATTTTGTATTCTGCTCCTTTCCTCCCCATCCCCCATTCTTTACTTCCCTTTTCTTTCTGCTTTAGGGACCCCCCCCCCCCACCTTTTCTTTCTTGGTCCGCTCCACCAGCAGGTTGTTTAATACTTTCCAGATTTCGGCATACTTTCAGCCTCCTGGAAGAGTTGCAAGTCTGCTGATGGAATTTGGCGGAAAAGGTTGTGAGTCCAGACAGGGGCCCCTGACATAGTTAACCTAAAGACAATGAGCGCCTCCCGTCGGCGGCAAGAAAATGTGGTTTCCATAAGAAAGCTGGAAACCAAAGGGAAATACCATCAGACGGCTTCAGAGAAACTACGCTGGCTGAGCGAGGGTGTTTGAGCGAGAGAAGCAGCTGCAAGGCCAGACTCCAATTACAATTGTTTTGTGTTGGGGGAGGGAGGAAGGCTGATCCCCCTGAACAAATCAGGAGTCTCCAGTTTCTCCCTAAAACATGTGAGACAACATGAACATTTGTGCTCACATCCTTTCTCTTAATACAAATCATTCTAATTACCATCGGACAGTTTTACACAATGACACAGAGATTTCCCATTCATCATTATTCAAGTATATCTTTCTAACAATGGCACATGAAAAGAAACTAAATTATGTTTTTGGGTGATATAGAACTATCTAAAAAAAAGATTCATGCACGCTTCCTAATCTTGCATTTGGTGATTACATACCTATCAGATGTTTCATGTAACCACTAGATGGCAGTACATGACAAGCCTTAGAATAAAGGACCTGTTCCTTAGATGGTTTGCTCCTAAACTTCAAATTAAGATGATGTGTAATTCAATAAAAAGGAGTGATTAAAAAGAAGCTTTTCAGAACCAAATGTAAAAGAAGGGCCTTGCAAAGATTTAGTCTTTCCTTCTTTTGGAAAAGCTCCAACAATCTATTAAAAGAATAACGACATTGTACAGAGAAAGGGAGAGAAAGTTGAATCAATACCACCGCTGGTTTGTATTGACCGTAACAATCAATATAAATGGCCTGTTTTACCACAAGTGTAAGAATAATGACTTTTTCCAAACCCTCTGGCAGATTGGACACTGAAATAATGTGACTACGACGAAGAGAAAGTGGAGAGAGATTAAAGATCCCCTAAAGTGGAGATGAAAGGCTGAATCCAAAGAGGAATGGAGCAGAAGGCTCAGCATGCAGCTTTAATGTGGAGAGATGTGGGGTGAAGCCTTGAACTGTCTTCAGCGAGTGTTAACAAAATATAGTGCATTGAACTTTGCCCAAGCTGTGAGGGGCTCACCAGCGCGTGAAGAGCCGAAGGATGGTCCGCAAAGTTGAAAGTGACAGAATGGTTTTGAGACCATGATGATGAGTAGGATCATGGTCTCAGACAGCTGCTCGACCCATCATCCATCTTCCAATCAGCAGGTTGACCATAAGTGCTCCTTACCAGTGTTCCCAAAGTCGCTTTGCTCACACGTGAAAAAAAATCCCTCTTTTATTTTTGTTTATGAGAACAGTAGCTCGAAAATAACATTTTGACAAATGATTTTGCTTATGAGTCATCCCATTAAATTCAGCCTGTACACTCAAGAGACATATCCCACTAAGGCTAGTAAGGCATCAATTGCTTCCTTCCTTCCTCTTCAGGGAGAGCCAAAGAATAGTGACAGGAAGCAGAGGCAGCATTCAAGGAATTTCTTTGTGAAGGATGACAGGGTAGTACTTAAACTTGTGTTGTAATGACAAAAAACAACTATGTGAAAAGGAGAAGATACTAATGGTTCTCTTTTAATGAAAAATATAGGTTACTTTTGATAATACAGAAAAGAAGCCGTAAATATACAGTAAAGAAAACAGCAAAAAGCACGTCGTATTACACAGAATTCACATCCTTCCATTCACACAAGAACCCTTGGAATGACCTGAAAACAGTGTGTAGTGTGTGAGTGAAAGATATCCAGTTTGCAAACTAATCCTTTATCTTTTTTACCTGCAGAATACAAGGCCTTTGAATAACATCAGTGTTTATTCTTTAAACCTGCAAGCTAAATTACCAACTCGTATTCAACAGTGATTTTTCTGTACACACAAAAAAGTGACAAAGACCTTCCACAAGCTCTCCCAAAAGTGAGTTTTACAGCTGAAATGATTTTTTTGCTAGAACATTATGATTTGGCACATCTGTCAGTCTGAGTTAAGGCAGAAAAATCAATCAGCGCAAATAAGCCTCAGTCTCATGGCTTCAGTGATGCAAGAGGGAGAGTCAAGCTGCAATGACTGTGCAACTTTCTGTACAAAAAAAGGGATCTTATTCTAATGCTCCAGCATATTGCTGACTTATATTTCATCCACTTAACAAACACAAGACATGTAGATCATTTTTCAAAGATTAAAAAAAGAAAAAATGTATGAAAGTACAAATACAAGTAGTGTGTGGTTTACGTTAATACGCTAGTACATTGTTTTTTCTACCATACATGAGCTATAGCCCTGTTCATAAACAGTGTGGGAGGGGACCTTTTAAACATAAAGGCAGCCCTATTAACGACTGAGCATTATATTTTTATGGTTCAGTTACTGGACAAAAAAAGAAAAAAGGGAAGGAAGTGGTAATCGCACTCTTTTCAGTTTCAACTTAAAATGACAGGAAAGGAAAAGCAGTCTGTCTGTGTCGATAGAAATAAGAAAGAAAATGAGTCCGTTCAATGACGAGAACATAACCACACACTGTTCTTAACACCTTGCTTTTCCTGTTAGCATTACAACTTGTCATAATTCACAAAGCCAGTGAAATGATAAAAGAGAATGTAGCTTTGTGGTCCTGTTGTAAAGTTACAGGGACCCTGAGTTAGAAAGGGAAGAATAAGGGAGATCTGCAGTACTGCTCTATTATTTTCTGATGAAAGAGGCTTGCTCCAGTAACAAAAACTGCTCCCTTTCTCTGTCAAGATACCACCACTGATGTGACACAGGCCATCTGTCCAGGCCACCGAGTGAAGTCCGACAGTCAGATGGAAAGCGAATTCAAGGCAGACGTGAACCAAATTAATAGCAAGCGTATGCAGCAATAAGCCAGGCAAATAAAGCAAGAGAAAGGCTGGACTTGAATTTTAGTTGTAAAAAGTATTTTTCCCATCTCAAGTTCCGTCTTAAGCAGCACTCCTGGATTATTTGGGTAATTTTCCACATTCAGAGCAAATTCCCCATTCACAAGTTGTCTCCAAGTTTAAATTGACAGAGTGAAAGTATAAGGCAAGGAGCTCAGGTGGATGGAGTTGGTGCAACCTAAACAAGCGGCCGTACTTTCTTGGCAGTCATGCCACGTAAAGGTCCTCCATCTTGTCCACAATACCACTTACACGGTGTGTGACAGGAGTGCAGTCATTGCGTTCAAGTGGAAAAACAGGCTCTAAAGGTGCCTTCCAGAGGGCCACGGGAGACACTCATAGACGGATTTCGTCATCTTCGTCCTCCAAGAAAGAGGAGAAGTTGCTCTCCTCTTCTGGAGGTGCACTGAAAGTGGCGCTATCTGTATCTCCGGCGTTTGCATAATTCAGGTGACTTGGCTTCTCATCCAGAGCAGCAGAGCCAGAGCTGGACACGGAGCAGCTGTCGAGGTGCTGGAAGTGTTTGGGTCGTATTTCTGGGGTGTATTCCGGGGTGTACGGCCCTCCGTCGTCGGTTCTCAGACTGTTAGAGCTGGCTGGATGGGCGAAGACCTGCCGATGAAGCTCGGCTGGCTCTTCCTCCTCCGCCTGCATCTGCTCGATTCCGTCCTCATCATCCTTTTTCCTTTCGACGTGGTTGTGTTCCTCGCCGTGGGTGCTGACGGGCGGCGAGGCGCGGCCCTCGCTGCTCTTGCCCTCCTCGTAGCCGAGATCGTCGTCCTCCTTTTCCATCACGCCCAGGATATCGTTCAGCATGGAGGGCCCCAGGTCCACGTGGAATGACATCACCGACTCCGCGTGCTTCATGCCGCCGCCGTAATGAACCTGGCTCTCCGGCAGCTCGGTCAGCTCCCCAAAGTTTCGCTCCTCCAGCTCCAGGAAGTGCGTGGCGGCGGCCGCGCCTCTCCCGTCCAGCTCCTCGTGTTGCTTGAAAGGGCTGGAGGACAAACTCTTGGCCACCGCGCTGTCCACTCTGTCCTCATCGTTCAGAAAGGGAAGGGACATGGCGTTTTTCACGAAGGCGGGGGACTCTCCGGGGACCAGCACGCCGTCCTTCTGCTGGTCCACCCGGGTCACCGACTGGGAGCGTTTGCTGCTCCTGAACGTGCGCGACAGCAGGCCGGGCCGAGGGGAGCGGGGGAAGGAGGTGGTGTCAGGGGACGGCTCCCCCGAGCGCGTACTAAGGAAGGACGTGTCCCCGAACGCGTCGCCGCTGCGGCCCACGTGCATTGTATGGCGAAAGTCCCCCAGAGGAGCACTGATCATCTCTGCCGTCAGGTCCATATTAGAGCGGCGCTTTGCCTGGGAAGACGACACTAGCTGTTTTAAGATAGGCATGGCGGCCGTTTGGATTTTTTTTCTCTCTTTTCCTGCACGTGAATATGGTCAGGCCACAAAAAGAGCAGCCAGGTCCGAGGAATCCGTGTTAACCTTGGAGAAGTATCGATCCTCAACTCCAGTCAGCCGTGGAACCTGAAAAATTGAAAGAAAAAACAATGAGTTAGTTTTACATAGAGAGGAAAATAGCTTCCATCATTTGCAATACAATCCCAACTCATGCATAGCTAAACAGTTTTCATATCATTTTAACCTCAGAGCATAAATGTTTATGAATTGGAAGTGCGCCACAAATCATGAGAGCTGTAATCTTCAATTGAGCAACGAGAAGTGTTCTTCCATCAGCTTAGTGAGATAACCTAAAAAAATAAAAAGATGGGGTGCTCCCACAGGATTCTGGTTAAAGCCGCATTATAAAGGGACCCAAACACCAATCACAGGCTAACATGAGTCAAAGGGACAGTTGAGGTTTGGAAAAATATTTTTCTGGAATGACACTCTTCTTCAGTCACTAAGAGCTAAGAGATTCCACAGTACACTGTTCTCGGCTGTTAAGCTTTTGATGTAGGCCAATGTGGATTTACAGAAGAAATACTTATTGGCACCATGACCATTGCCAGATCATCAAGCAGAACAGTGGTGAGCAGAAGCTATCTGGAGGCTACCCTACCTTAAAGATCAAGAGGAAGACCAGCGTATAAATGCAGTCAGCTGGGATATCAGGGAAACCGTCTGCACTCAGTCAAGCTTCAAATCAGTGACAGAGGTGCCTGATCAGCTTGGAGGCATCGAGTCCCCGGCAGGAATATATATCTTTATATTCTGCCCTCCTCTGTAGTCTGGACGAGGTACTTTGTAAATCTAGAGTAGATATGTTCTGCACAGGTGCACAAGCTCCCACAGATGGCAGCATCAGGAAAGAACAAGAAGGGTCTTTGTAATAATCAAAAGTTAATTACAGCTTTTTTTCAAATCTATTGGCTCAATTATGAATTTAATTTTGATACATGGATGGTGTTATTATGCAGGTGTGTTAAAAGTAAGCTCTTTTTAAAAAAAGTTCAAACTTTGACAGCCCAATCTGGCCTTGACATGGATATTCATGCAGAGTTTTTGTAATCCTCTGGCAGGAACCGTTACAAGCATAAAACAGAAGACTTACAACAACACCTCACTCAATTTCCCCCAAAATGTAATTATCATGTCAAAGATTGTGGAATTGTGATCAGAAAAATGACAGAATTCCCTAAGCGTCCCCCCTATCCAACCAAAAATATTTCCACCACAACGCTTTTGATTGATGACATTGCTGAAAAAAATGTTAGTACATTATTCAAGGCCCAGACTGTAGGGAACCTCACTGCATGCGGGCAGCCAGACGCGGCTGCTTCCTCCCCCTGAGGTGGAGCACTGGAGGAGGTGTCTCATTAACCGTCCACCCCACATTATATCCCCACAAAAACAACACTGCCACGGTGGTCCGAACCAGGAAATGTTGGTAATGTTTTTTCCACACACACATCAAAAACCATGTGCACGCCTGGTCTGAGTGTGGAAACGTGTGAGCAGGTATGGGGAAATGCTTACCTTGCCGTTATTACTCAGCACCGCTCTTGCTTGCACACTGCCTCCTTCTTTCTATTTACTCTGTTGTACAAAATAAATCTTCAAAACGCTCAAACTTACTTTGGACTTTTTACTGGTACGTTTTCAAAAGACATTCAGATGAAGAGTTGTTTTTGGTAAAAAGCGTCACTGAGAGATTTCAATGTTTAACGGAGCAGGCTTCGCAGTGCATTGACCCCATTTTTCTGTCTCCTCCCCCTGTCTTTACCAGCTGAGCCTCTATTCCTCTTCCTGCTAGCACAGGCACCTGCATCGGTTTCTATAGAAACACACGCATGCAAGCAAGCAAGCAAGCAAGCAAGAGTGTTTCCTGTCAAGAGGCTGCAAAAGATTTTAGGCCTTACGGAAGCATGCGCAACAATCACCGAGTCGACTGTGGCAGATTTATCTTGAGTCTGCTTTCACTTTAGCTGTACCACAGCCGTCCCTCTGCAGCAGTCGCCTATTTTCTCAGTCAAACAGATTTAAAAGCCGTGGTTTTTTCTCAAAAATATCCTCTCCTGGTCCAACAACATAGCCAGTGTCACACGCAGTGTCTTGTAATGCATGCCCTTATTTGCATGGGAGTTTGAGGGGTGCTGCCTCAGCCTCCTGGTCCAGACAGCATCTACTTATGTCTCACTTCCTGTATTACCGTCTGGCATGAGAATTGTTCTGCATAAGACAGGAAGACACTGCAGAGGTTTAAATGTGTTTAGAAAATGCCCCACGGTAGTTTCATTTGGCTCATTTATATCAACAATGCAAAAGCGGGGCATCCTGCATTATAAATGACCCATCCCACACTGCATACAGATCTTTTTTTCCTTCCCTCAGGCAGGAGGCTGCAAAGCATCAAAGCTGCAAGGCTTAAAGGCTGTTCCTTCACACAGGCTGTGAGACTCATTAGCTTGCTACCTCACCGACTGACCAAATTGCAATGTCTTTTTTCATTGTCAGCTCTACTTATTAAAAATAAAATATTCATATCAAATGATTTTTGTTTTTGTTATCTCTACATAACTCCATTTGCTACATACTAATGAACTTTACAGAACCACATTTTTTTCTATTCAATTTGATCAACTATTAAAGAAGAACGAGACTGTAATGACAATGTAATTAAGCTTAAACCTTGGCCTTGGCTTTTCAGACCATCTTTTTATCATTTTATCAACCAGAATTAAGTTTACTTAAAACACAGAAATGTCCCAATACTCCCAATAAAGGCAGAAATTTGCAGCGTTTATTTTAATCAGACTGCATCAGCATATCAAAACATCCCCCTGAACCTCAAACTGCTTTACCAAACAAGCAAACGTGGTCATTTATATAGCAAAAAACATGTTTATTATTCAAGCCCCCTGTTCGGAATTGTTATGGAGAAATCATGATGGGAAATCTTTTACACCCAGCTGGAAAAAAAAGACAAAGGAAAAACTTTTGGTGGCTAGAGCAGGGGTGGTGAAAGCTCCCCAGGGCAGGATCAGGCTGAGGGAGTCACTGGTGTCCACTTCATGGACAAGAATGCATACATTTGTTACCAACTATCAGAGAGGCTGTTTCATTATCAATTTTTAAATTTGAATCAGACTGTAAGGACACGCCGAAGCCCATCACACTGGCAATCTCTGAGGAAATGTGATCATCCACAAGTGGGTGTATCCGAATGGAAAAAAGTAAAAGCATTTGAGAAGACAGAATTTAGCGTGGGAACCATTGGGTCACAGCTTGGGGAGTGGGAATGCAGGGGTTTGACTTTGTAAACAATGTCATGATCCCACTGCAGCAGAGCCCACTGGAGACGCGGAATGGGAGACGGGAATGTTGAGGAAGAACAAACGAGGCACATGTGCATCCTTTCCGTTTGACAGTAATGTTTCTCAGAAACCAACACAGTCTGCTCCAACTTCCCGACCTCGAGGCTTAAAATGACGTGTACAGATTACAGGGCTGAGCTGCCTTGATATGGATGTGGGTTTTCCCAGCTCCAGCGTGACAAGCAGCAGCCAAAGCGTGCAGGAAAACCATGACAAACATGTTCTAAACATGGTTCAGAACGACTACTGCAGCTTTGACCTGCTCACTTCACTTTTTTAATCCGCTAACAATGTAATGTTAGCTCTGCTAAGGTTATACTTCAGCCCATGAATGACATTAGATATTGACCTTGATCTTTTCTTCAAAATGGGTCTTTGGATTAAACAATAACCTCAGAAATGCTGCAGTCATTGAAACACTGCAGCGGTGGAAGGAAGTCCACAACAGCAGCTGCAAGTTTAAGCCCTGAGTCGAGAGAAGAAAAAACACATCTTAGATTAACAAGTATCTATTAAGTTTTTATAGCTCAGCAAGAGTTAAAAAATTTTTTTTTTAAACTCATCTGAAGATTTTGTATTTATATGCATGAAAAAAATCTTCAAATCAAGATCAGAGAAAATTATTGACTGCCTGGAAAATGTGTGTTTAAGACGCTCATAACTTTTCACATCTTGTCAATTTGCTCAAAATAGGCCACTCAATAGCAATACACAAGACACAAGAGATCACACCGTGGACTAAATCTCAACCTTGAGTTATGGGCCATTTCCAAAACAAGGTATTGATGGTTAAATTGGTCCTGTGTATATTCCACCGTCTGGAACATCAGAGTCGTGCTGCGGTCGGGCTTACGGCTTTGTCTGCATCGCTAGAAGTCACTGACCTGGATGGACACACATGACCTGAGGGTGAAAGACATGAGGGTGGGATGGAGGGGGGAAGGCCACATGCTCTCAAAGTCTGTGAGAATGAAAACATGGAGAGATCTGCTATGTTGTGCATGAAAATAACTAAATACGGTTTGCAAACACCCCAATGGACAGTAAAGTGTAAGCGACTCCCACATGTTTAAGTACAAGCCAGAGCTACGCTCTTGTTCAGTAACACAGTAGCACTGACTCTCGCTCACATAATCCAGTAATTAAGCAGACAAATGGCCTCTAGTAGATGGTATCTTCCATGCAACTCAGTTACCAGGCCTGAATGTCTCATTTAGGAAGGAGCAGCTACAGGACAAACAGTGGAAATCACATTATCTCTCAATCACTCCGAGCAACCAACATTAAGCAGATGACGCCTTCAGAGATAAATAAAGCAGTGAGAAAACATGTTTCTCCAAAGAGATTTTCCACATAAAGCCCTTCTTCTTAACCGAAAGCCAAATGAAACAGAAACGGTCCATTTGGAGGGCTGGAAGGAGTGATTCATTGCTTGAGGATTCAGAGCAAGTTGTTGATCTACATATCCCTCCATCCCCCATCCCCCGCTACTATGCATTTCTGCCTCAAAAAAGAAAGCTGAAAGCACAAGAGTCATCTTTGCATATATAACATCCCTTTGGCCACTAAAATATT